TATATCCTAATTGGTTGGTGAAAAAGTCATATCACCTTTGATACGGACCTACCGAATGTGATTTTTTGAGATTCTGTCTTCTGGCGGCTGTGTTTATTAGATAAACGCTATTGTGGTATTCGCTGTATATACAAACAAATAGAATTTGCTACGCCAGGTTTGCGCACTATCGTCTATTACGCCAGGCTATAGCGTTCGATAGCAATCCACCGCCACTCAATGGATTGAGGATCTACCTTAAATAAAGTCGTCGTTACTATTTTGAAAGCTATACTTTCTCAGGTGTGTATGTCCATTATGTGGGGTTAGAAATGAATGGTTAATATTATTATAGGTTGGCAGAAAATACAAAGCTGAAATGCCTTTTCTAATGTAACCTGTAAATATGACATCGGTCTATATATAAGACCAATATATTTTTGTCTTGAGAATTTCACAGATCGTTGGGAACATAAAATATCAACTACGATAGCGTCCGTCATAGAACGTAAATCGCAGGACTAAATTATGGGTAGCGTTTTTGAAGCCGGCGTCGCAACAACAAAAAGATTAAACATAGAAGCCCTATGCCATGCTTCAAAACCGAGCAACAAAACCACGAGAACTCTTCTCGTACCAAAATTATTTATTGGAAACGTAAATCAAAAACTTAATGATTAATTTCGAAAGCGAGGTAAATCAATTTTGACAATCAAATAATCGTAACGATCTCTCCTTTCGTTGTCACCAGTCTCAATAATGATTTCCGTCATATATCCAGTGACGTTCACTGTTTCTTCGGCGCCGACTATTTCTTCCAATAGCCACCATAATAAGCACCATAAGCGGGGTAGCCGAGACGGTAGCCGAGACCGTAGCCGCCATAACCGAGGCCATAACCCCCGTAGCCAAGTTTATATCCGTATCCGAGGTTATAACCGAGTCCGTAACCGAGTCCGCCATAATAAGTGGCCGAGGCGATGGCAGCAAGAGCCACTACGAAGATAAGATACTGTAATGTCACAGAAATCAACAAAAAAAAAAGTTTCATTTTATTAGCTAGATTGTAGCCTTCTACTAAATTTGCAGGATTGTTAGACCGTTCACTCAGCCATAGACTTTTTGACAATTTCTCAGCGCTGCCGATTCTTCTAGAAAAAAAACATAGTAACTACTAAGATTTTAAACGAAGAGGGTTTATATGTCAGAGGTTAAACATTTTATGAAAAAAGCTGCCTTAAGCAAAGATAGCTTTTTGATTAATTAAGCAGAGCCGAGTATCCTTACCGCAACTTTCTGCATTCTTGGTTGTTTTTCAACTGCCTGCTAACTCAATGAGGTGCCGACCTCTTCGATCCTTGGGTCTTATATACAGCCCAAGATGGTAGAGTATCCACCATTGCGACTTTGCCCTCGCTCAAACGTTCGAATGCTCTTCAAATGTGTCGGCTGAGAGAATCTTTGCTCTCCTTATTTCTGTCATAGCAGGGGCCAGCAACACTCTCCCTTCCCGTTGCTGTTATCGTTGACGCCCGTATCCTCCTCTTAACAGCCCCCGTGCAACAACAGACATCAACGTCATCGCCACTTCCGTATTTTCGAAAGTAGAACCCACTCAGATTTAAGAATATTCTGGAAGAATCAATTCAGCCTTTACGGCACTCCCCCACACTCTCATATTTGCCACTCCTCACTAAGCTGAGCCACCTGACCGAAACTATGTTATTAGAAGGGGCAAACATCATATACAATACTAGTATCAATCGCGTTACTACGTTGTATATAACGTTTTCGGCAGAATTTGGCACGCGTACACAGAAGGCGGCTACCAAGGAGAGAGAACGAGGGAACGCTTCGCCGATATTTGTGTCTCCTCTTTTGTTACTCACCCATTTCATTTCGCCCAACGATTCGTTGGGCGTAAACAATCTGATTCAATCATCATTCAGATCATGATTCATCTATGTCATGTAGCAATGATAATAGGGTAAAAAGGAACTGTTCCAGCGGTGTTGCCGTAAATCCCAATAAAGGTCAAGGACCAGGGGATGAAAAATAGGATAGTATTGGGAGAATGTCGCTCTATAGAAATCATATACAACGCGTGGATCGATGTATAGGCGTTAATAACATGTTTGTACTATGTAACTATCTGTGATATAGCAAAACGCCTCTCGCAGGTACTGTGCAATGTACTGCGTAATACTTGTCTTCCTATTTATCAAATGTTTTCATATGTAGCTAGAAAAGATTATATCTTTGCGGAAGTGCATATATTCAGAATCGTAGTAAAATGGAAGGCTTATACATAGTATAATAACGAATAGCCATAAATACACGACGACTTTGTACGTCGAGGCATATGTGTCGCTTTATAATGGACGGTTTCAAGACTGTGAACCTTTGAAACGGAAAGAAAACTGCTAAGCAATCAGAACAGAAGCTTTAGCCAAATTTGGTAATAGCTTGAATTTTTGTAGGACACCTTTAGGTGGCATCGATCACATGTTGGGGAAGACGCGTCGAAAATGTAAGGTGCACAAATCATTGCCTTTCCGTCTATTAATTCCCATTCGAATCGTGATTTTTAGTGCATATAAGCATACTTTCTCTGAAGTTCAGCCCCTGCAAAAATATCCGAAATAGCAAAAAAAATATCAACTGGTTTTGCCTATGTCTGAGCTGGACAGTTAGAACTTTATCATTTAGCGGAAATCCCTTACCGTGCAATACAAGTTTTCAAAACGTACCTACTCGTTGTTGGATATCGTCCAGTAATTCAGTTCACAGAACGTTACGAGGGCGCATACATACATATATTGCGTTGTCGAAAAAGTATTGACCCTTTTATATTTCTTAATATTTTTAAATGGTATTATTAAATTGAATAACTTTCTGTCATTTTTCTGCTAAGACCATAGATCAAGCATTATAGAGTTTTTGTGCTTTCTAAGGGAAAAGTTATCAAAGGTGACTTCGTACACCTAGATTGAAGCTAGATTAACACCACTGAGGTAATTCGCCAAGATCCGAGCTATACGGCGAATGCACTAGAAGTTCCTGTTCTCTCAATTTTTGCCTAAAAGCTAACGATGTATGTGGTCTGGCACTATCATAATGGAAGACGATGCCTTTTTTTTTGTTAGTTCTGGTCGATTGACTATTTTACCAAGCGGCAGCAAATCATCGTGGGCACCCTTTTTCGAGTCTCAGTAAAAGATAGCGTCATTTTTCGTCATCAGTCTCGGCGTTGTTAATGATTATTAGGCACATTTTTACCGTATCAGCCGCAATCATAGTTCTGAAAACGATTAGATTCCATCGCGTTTCTGCGAAGCTGGGAATATGATTGAGAGATTTCCTTTGTTCTAACACCTGTGGCATCAAGGCTTTTTTGGAGTCTGCCTTCTTCAATTGTTTAAAACGGATTAATGATGAATGCTTAATCTCCTAGCGGTATCGTGGTCGTTTATGTGTCGATCCTGCCCAGCTTTCACGGACTACTTCGGGACAACACCTTTCACATTGAAATTTCCAGAACGAAAACGGCAAGACAAGCTTCACTCCGCTTCTTCGAACAATACGTTTTGACGGCATAATCTTTATATGGGCCTGGGTAGCATTTTTGCCTTTAACAAACTTAGGGAACTCAGCACGAGGTTGATTTATTCTTAAGACGCTTTATTTTCAATGTTCAAGATTCTAAACTTCCAGCCAACACCAGCCGAGTCCATGCTCGCCGAACTACGTTGCTTTGAAGCCATCTAGTTAGAAATCGATCAACAATTTTTCGATAATCCAATATATACATGTACAGAATCTCAAAATTTAGTTTCTATTTAGATGATTAACGTCTGAATGGCAAATGTACATAACATCTCATCTAACGTCGGGTGTTATATGGCGCTCTTGTTCCATTGTCGTCGGTTTTCTGGCCTTCTGTAGACCTTATCTTTATGGTATCAGAGCAAATAAAAAAAAGCCACTGGCGACTGGTTTGGGGATTCTCTATGGGACCCGCCTGTGTGAGAAGCCCTCGTAAAGACGCCGTCTCCTAGAACGGTGGCTGCGCGCAAACGCGCCGTTCTATTAGAACTTCAATTTTTCATTATCACTAGTCATCTAAATGCGTATTAAAAAAGATTTCAGCGGTTGGCATGACTCACTGCGTAATCGAAAGAGAACGGTCTAATTGATTATTTGCTTGTGGGGCAACTAGTAGGTTTACATTGTGTTTCTGTGCGTAACATACGTTACTCAGGATGTGTAATTATACCGATCAATTGTGCCATCGAATTGGTCTGGGCGTTATATCGAAAAGCCGGGCATTTTTCGAATTTCAATCATAAACGTCTTCCATATCGAAGATGTACACTAAGTGATGAAGGCTTTGTTTTGAGATGTTCCGCTATCACCTTTGCAAACTATTCTTGATTAATAGATCTATGTTGTTATTCCTAAATCTTCCACAGTCTTTCTGTTCTTGTTTAAACACGGTTAGATTGGATTCTTCGTACCTTGGCTACATTCTTACACTGGTAATAGCATTGTCAAGCAAATTTTCTCTGTCTTAAAGTTTGACACTTGATTATTATCACCACGTTTATTATCCGATTATCAAGTGATTACACCCTACTAAGAAACGGTGTATATATTTTTTTGCAAATATTATATGCGTGCATATATGTACGTAGCAGCGATAACTCTCGTAAGAATAACAGACTATGAGCGACATCGCTATCAGCTGAAATAGCATTCTTTCAGATTGTTTTTGCTGGAACTTCGGTTTGTGTAACAATGTCAAGCGTCTCAGAGTAGTAAATTAGCGAAAAGAGAAATACGAGTATTTCTGTGTGCGTTCAGTATTTTGCCAAGCAATTCAACTTTAAGCAATAACCCAGTCGGCCACGGCTTCTTCTAAAAAGCAATACGGAACGCCTATCACTATCTTAGTGCGTATTAAAAATGACATTTTTTTTTTTTTATATTAATATTCGAGCTTTTCGTCAAATATAGTTTAAAAAAAAAAACACACACAGAGTGTTCGCCCTTAAAAAATACCAAAGTAATTATACGCTAGCCAGAAGACAGTTGGCACTGATATAAATTCGTTTACATAGATAAATGCGACCGGCGTCTTGATAATGCGCCAATAAAGTTGTAACGATATTGCCAACGCTTATTTCTCGTTATTTTTTTTTTCACTATTTATCCTTGTACGCTACGTAAAAACACATATCGAAGTACGAAAGGATCGCTTGAAGACAAAAATAAACAGCCTACAGACATTGGCTTCAATGGGAAATCGAAAAAGGAAGTAGGTACGTTAGACGAAAGCTGGAACTCTGCCTTCCCACCCACTGACTCTGCTGGGTAAAGCCAGGCAGAGCTTGATGTCTGCATATATTCCAGAGACGGTTCTCAATGCTGCCTAAAGAAATTCAATTTAGAACAAGAAATACCAAATGGACTAACAAGTGCTCTATTACACTTGCTACGTTTTACTCACGGATTCAGTTGCCGTCGAATTTAGGGCTCTCCGGATCAAGATGGCCGGCAACCAGTTTCCCGACCTTTTGAGTACGTAAAGAACGGCTTTTTGTTTTGCATCGATCTAAATAAGTGGTACTCTGAAAAAGCCCAGTATGAAGAATATCCCGCACGAAAAGGAACTTCCTAACTCACTAAAATATTGTTTCCCGCATCCTTAAAGCTCTATAAGAATCAAGTAGCTAAATTACTTTGGAGCTTCCCTGACCGGCAGGCAATATTGTTCATTATTGCAGCACACTGAACTATCTTTTGGGTAGAATGAAGCCAATGTATTAAACCGTGATATTGCCTAGATAGTTCCATTTGAACTTGACGATATCTTTGAAGCTCTTTTGGACGCTTATCTTATCGCCAGTACCGATAATAATAACAACTTCCATTATTAACATAAGGTGCAGTATATCGTTCAGCGTACATGTGTCGTTGGCGGTACTTGAAGGACCGATTTTTCTGATCCGTTTCAACCAGAGAATAAGCCGTCCAAGCTACTGCATTGACCAGATACAAATAAACAGCTGAAATCTCTCGAAACACAGAAATAAGAAATGCATCGAGCTCGAAGCAATCCACATGGTTCGAAAAACGCGGGTATCGGAATAGACGAAGTTTAATAGAATTTTCGTTGCTAATAAACGAGTGATTTAACGAGATGTTGCATCATACACGACGAGATGGCCTCTACGATAAAAAAATTTACTACAGATTCCATTCTATGGCACGATGCTTGTCTAAATATGGTTGTTACGTTGTGTTCACTGAAAATCAAATACATTTCTATAGGGCAATACTCGAACTTGAGCCATACACGTGTCGTCTTTCGCGTTCCTTAAAGCGTAATTTTATCAA